TTTTTTCCTTTTTTTGGAAAAAAAATTTTTTTTCCCGGGAAAAAAAAAAAAAAAAAAAAAACCTTTTTTTTTTTTTTTTTTTTGTTTGTGTAAATGGAATCCATTATGAAGCAATAGTCTCATCACTGCTCTGTGAGGTCTTACTTTAACCAGCATATTTGTGATGTTTGCCTTGAAGGGGTCCTATTATGCTTTTTCACTTTTTGAATTTTTGTCCGTGTGTAGTGTGTATGTTTGGGCATAAAATTTTTTAAAACTTACAAATCTCAAAGTCCACTCCAAAGGGAGATATTTCGTTTTTAAAAAATCCCTTTTCAAGAACCACAACGAACGGCTCGTTTGGACTACAGCGTTTGTTTTCCGGGTTTTGTGATGTCACAAAGCGGCTCATTGGAATATCATTAAAATAATTCCCGCCTACGGAAATTCGAGTGGTCGGGGGGTGGGGAGGGGCGAGGTCGTGGTTAGAACGCTTGGTTGAGTGAGTGCATCAGACAAGAAGACGACGACGAAGAAGCGCTGCTGTAGCCTCAAGCTTTTAAGTTATTACACATGCACCTGAATAATTATGTATGTAAATATGTATGTTACCATTATGAAAACGTTTTTATAATAAATTGCTGACAGTACAATACTGGACAATGATGTAGTCTGCAGAATTTACACTTCAATTATGAGACTACAGTGTTTCCCATACATTGAGTGCGGGTGTTTTTATATCACTGTATTTCTGAAGGAAACCGACTGTCTTCAGAAAATTGGATGTCATTTTCATTTAATCTTGCATGTAATGTCTGATAAAGCAGTGTTTTTTTGAGCGGAGCGCTGCTTTGTGTACAGCCGCTACCGGGAAAACCTTGATCTCTATCACTCCAACAGCGCCTGGCAGAGAATGAGTTTGCATATATATGCCGCCTTGGAAACACTAGTTTCACTGCAATTCATGTTATAATGTTAGAATTAAATGACAATAAAAATATTACATGTGAAATTATACTTATCTGTATATAGGAAATGCGGTTGTTGACATCCTATCTAAAACGTGATTTAGCCAAAAAATAACGTTACCACTCGTAATATGTCTTGCAATATCCGTGCGTGCAAAGGTTTTGCGCAATCCTCTTGTTCAATATTCTCTGGGTCTGAAAATTGATATGGCAATATTGACACCATTCTTAACTTAACCGGAGCAGACGGAACTTGCTGCTTTGGCAAGGGGCGGGGCAGTACTGAAACACTGTCTAAGCTGTTCGCCAATCACAGCGCACTGGGATAACTAACCAATCACATCACATTTCGTTTTTCGGAAGGCAGTGCTTCATCAAATCCGGAACTAATCGAGCCTTTTGTGTCAGGCTGGGGAGAAAGGTATTGTAATGTAAATTATGTAAAAAAAATAATGCATTTTTCGAACCACCAAGCATGAAAGCATGTTCTAGTACACCCCCAAAACAAATTCAAGACATTGTAAAAGAGCATAATAGGACCCCTTTAAATTGATTTCTAGGACACTTTAACTTTTATAAAGGGCAAAATTTTCCCAACCTTACTAAATGTACGTGTCATCATTTACTTCAAATTCTTAAATTGTATCAATATATTTAGTTAGAATAATTAGACTCTGTATGGTTGTTATCATTCAAATGAAATCAGTATCAATAAACCCCATCTTTCCACTGCAGAGGAGAAACTGAAGCTGCATCGAAAATGCCATTTAGATGTATTTACTCAGACTGTTTAATGAAGATAAGAGGTTCCATAAATGCATTTACACAGTAAAATTGCAAACGCATAAATGTTATAAGATTAATGGTTTACTTTTTTTAACATATAAATCTGAAATGTTGGAAAAATGCAATGATACTTTTAAATATGAAACCAAACCACCAGTAGGTGGCGGCAAGTCACCGTCTTAATGAGTGAGTCATTGATTCAACCAATTAATTCAAATGGCTAATTCATTCATTAAATAAAGCAAGTGACTGTCTTAGGATTGGCTCACTGAGTCATTGACATCCGATTCGTTCAAAAATGCTAAATCATTGAGTAATGAAACACCGCTGTGTGTTGCTCGGAGATGCGCGACTGTTCTGTTGTAGCTTTGCTTAGAACTATTTTCGTTAGCCAAAACGGTCAATAATGTGTCTAAAATGTAAGTCAGTTAATATTAACTACTTGTTTATGGCACTACTGTTGTATAAAATCAATGTCACATTTGCAATCATGCTGGTGCTTGGTCGCGTGATGTTGCTTACCTATATCATATGTTAAATAGAATATTTATATTTTTTTCTACCGCAGTATGTTTGTTTCTTTGTGTGTGCTGGTGCGCCTATTAGTTTGGATTTCTCCGCGAGTCAGACGAGCCTCAACTGACGCAACCTTGATACTGTCAATACATTATCCGTCATCAGTCACCGTTTACTCTGAAAGTAATAAAATCAGAATCATTCTCACCAAAGTTTCGGTGCTGCCCTAGTTATGGTTTGTTATTGATGTTTTAATCAGGTTACTTGTCCGGTCGGGCAAGTAAAATTCTCTTTCACAAAATCCACTTGTCCCGGACAAGTGTTAAATTGTATCAATATATTTAGTTAGAATAATTAGACTCTGTATGGTTGTTATCATTCAAATGAAATCAGTATCAATAAACCCCATCTTTCCACTGCAGAGGAGAAACTGAAGCTGCATCGAAAATGCCATTTAGATGTATTTACTCAGACTGTTTAATGAAGATAAGAGGTTCCATAAATGCATTTACACAGTAAAATTGCAAACGCATAAATGTTATAAGATTAATGGTTTACTTTTTTTAACATATAAATCTGAAATGTTGGAAAAATGCAATGATACTTTTAAATATGAAACCAAACCACCAGTAGGTGGCGGCAAGTCACCGTCTTAATGAGTGAGTCATTGATTCAACCAATTAATTCAAATGGCTAATTCATTCATTAAATAAAGCAAGTGACTGTCTTAGGATTGGCTCACTGAGTCATTGACATCCGATTCGTTCAAAAATGCTAAATCATTGAGTAATGAAACACCGCTGTGTGTTGCTCGGAGATGCGCGACTGTTCTGTTGTAGCTTTGCTTAGAACTATTTTCGTTAGCCAAAACGGTCAATAATGTGTCTAAAATGTAAGTCAGTTAATATTAACTACTTGTTTATGGCACTACTGTTGTATAAAATCAATGTCACATTTGCAATCATGCTGGTGCTTGGTCGCGTGATGTTGCTTACCTATATCATATGTTAAATAGAATATTTATATTTTTTTCTACCGCAGTATGTTTGTTTCTTTGTGTGTGCTGGTGCGCCTATTAGTTTGGATTTCTCCGCGAGTCAGACGAGCCTCAACTGACGCAACCTTGATACTGTCAATACATTATCCGTCATCAGTCACCGTTTACTCTGAAAGTAATAAAATCAGAATCATTCTCACCAAAGTTTCGGTGCTGCCCTAGTTATGGTTTGTTATTGATGTTTTAATCAGGTTACTTGTCCGGTCGGGCAAGTAAAATTCTCTTTCACAAAATCCACTTGTCCCGGACAAGTGGATTTTGCACAAGTGTTAATGGCCCTGTCCCAAATGGCACACTTCATGTGCACTTTCGGTCTTGACTTACATTGGTCGCTGTGTGCACATGGCCATTAAGTCCACGAGATCGTAGGGTGTCCCATTCGTCATTTTAGCGTTCAGAAGGGTCCTCGTGAGCGCCCCCTTTGCGGCTGCTATGCACACTCGATGCGCACTTCTGCTGAGCTCTGAGGAAGACCGTGAGGGTTTAGGGTGCCTTTTGGGAGAGGGCCAATGTTGAGCCCTGAATCCCAAGAATCGATTAGTCTAGCCTGTTTTTCAGTTAATGGATGGAACTTTGAAGGGCACTTCCCATCCAATATATTGACAAGTATGATATATTGGTCTAACACTTCTTGTAAATGTGTTATTGCGTCACCTGCTTTTCTGACAGCTCGAGAGCCTTGGCGTCAGAGCATCTCCTGGGGTGACATGGTGGAGGAGGAGCCGGCCCGCCCGCCGGGTCATGGCATTCACATGCACGAGAAGCTGTCCTCTCCTTCACGCAAACGGTAACAAAGTCACAAAATTCTGTGTGTTACAGAATAATGTTACAGAACTTTGTTTCTGTCCTAATGTTTACATCTTTTTTTGCTAAGAAAAGATTCTTTAACATGGTATTATTACCGGTTGAAGTGTCATTTCTGAACAGAATTGCCAAGTTTAAAAAAAATAATAATTTGAACACTTGTTCTGTCTTCTGTTGTTAGGGAAAAAAGGTAGTCCTATCCCCAAACTCACCATTATGGCAATGTTGTTACAGTCACTTAAACAAAAAGATGGCAAAATTTGCCATTAGTGGTGCAAAAATTAAACATTTAATTTTTTTAATGCTGTGTAAATGAAAATAGACATTGTATAGAATCCAGTTTCTGCCACAGAATAAGAAACTAAAAAGTTTGCAACTTCTCACAACTCTTGACTTTACTTCTCTTGTTTGTGAGTTTGTCACAATCCTGAATTTTTCTTCATCAAAATTGAGATGTAAACTGTACTTCTAAGAAAAAAATTTAAATTACCAAAAAAAAAAAAAAACATTCCTGAGATGTTAAGTCAACTCAGAATTGCCAGAAATAAAGTAACTTTGATTCTAAGAAGGAAAAAAAGGCAACAGGAGAAGGAGAGGGCGAGGGAAGACGCAGCGCGGGAGAGAGCCAGGTCAGCATCACGTCCTGCCAAACAGACCAGAATCCTGATTCAGCTAAACACAAGGACAGAAAGGACCAGTACAAAGAACTCAAGGGGATTTAGGCTTTGAGAAACAGCCTGATTTAGGGAATGTTTTGTGTAACCCTTAACCAAAATGTATACAACCGTTCAAAAGTTTGTTACAAAAAATTGTTACAAAAGATCTCAAATGCTGTTCTTTTAAACTTTCTACTCCTGAAAGAATCCCGAAAACAATCTTGAAAAATAAATTGTCACTGTTTCAGTAAAAAAAATATAAATATTACGCAGCACAACTATTTTCCACATTGATTATAATCAGAAATGTTTCTTGAGCAGGAAATCAGCATATTAGAATAATTTCTGAAAGATCGTGTCACACCGAAGACTGGAAGCTGAAAAAAATACATTTTAAAATATATTAGCATAGAAAACTATAACAATATTCCTGTATTTTTGATCAAATAAATGCTGCCTTGGTGAGCATATGAGACAAAAACATTAAGAAATATTACTGACCCCAAAGTTTTGAATGGTAGTCTGTTGTTTCTTGCATTAGAAACACTTTATAAACTTTAAGGTTATTTACGTCTTATTTGGTTCAACTTTCCTGTTAAAACTTTGAATTCTTGGGCTGTTTGATGATAATCTAAGAAGTCACCTAAACCTTTGATCGATTGAATACTGTGAGATCTGTATGGGTTAGAGGTGTTGTCTTTTTGCACGTCCTATCTGAATGTTTCTTCTTTTTTTCTCTTTGTTTGTTGTGCACACCATAGAGACCGTGAGGAGCGTTTGGCTGCTCTCAGTGCGTCTCAACAGGAAGCCATGGAGGAACTACAGAAGAAAATCCAGATGAAGGTAAACCATCATAAGTAATCTTCTGACATCTTATCCCATTTTTTAAAAAATCCTGTACCTTGGAAAAACTGCTGTTATGCAGTGTTAATTTTTTCTCAACAATTTTTTCACTGACGAAAACGAGACCATAACTAAATAAACAACAGTTTTATTGACAAAAGCTATTATAAACCTCTATTGGCCTTTTCATCAATGAATACAAATTGTATTGCATGTTGTGTTGCTTGTTCAAGCCTTCACAAAACATTCATATTATTATATGTTTTCTCCAGGAGTCTAAAACTAGACTAAAAGTAAAACAAGACTAAATTTTCACAATTTTCAGCATGACGAGAGCAGCCGTCGACACATGGAGCAGATCGAGCAGAGGAAAGAAAAGGCCGCTGAGCTGAGCAGCGGAAGACACGCCAACACGGACTACGCCCCCAAACTCACTCCTTATGAACGGCAGAAGCAGTGCTCGCTCTGTAACGTTGTGGTAGGTACTACATTATAGGATTCCCTCTTATCTCTTTGATTGGTTTTAATACATTCAGGGCCGTTGACATGGGGAAAACTAGGAATTCTGTCCCAGTCCAAGATCAGGAACATTTGAGCCACTCTAAACATGAGTGCAGAGACTCCTGCAAGGATGGACAGTCCGTCTTTGTTGCATTGCCAGGCAGAGTACATAAAATCACAGACCACAAGGTGATTCAGAGGATTTTCATAGAGAATGCAATGTAAATGAGAATTTAACTGCATTAATTAAACATGAACTCTGGGCGGAGATTAATAGCTGGGCGTGATTATGCTTTTCAAGCGACAGGCAACAAATCTTTGAGTGGCCGCATTTATTTCTGACACGCCCTGCTTTTACTGCAACTGAGGCCAGACACCTTGGAGCTTCAAACTGACATCAGATTAAGCGCTGGGGAGAATGAAATCTTGTTAAAAATGTCAGATGACCTTGGCCAGGCTCTGACACCAGAGATCATCTTTAGGTCAGCGGGAAGCACTCTAGTTAATGACATTATACACAGACTGTCCTGTGTGGGCTCGACTCCAGGACTCAAAGGAGACGAACAACACAAGCATCCAGATACTGTTGTCTTCACCTGATCTAGGAAAAAACTTTACTACTTTTCTGTTTAATTCTAGTACAGATTTTTCACTTGGGTCACTTTCATGCAAAGCACCTTTCAGGTTCAGTCCTCTTGGAGTAAATGCGAGGTTTAAGGGTTAGTTTAACCAAAAATGAAAATCGTCATAACTCGGCGTTTACTCAGCTTTATGTAGTTTCAAACTTGTATTATTTACATACTTCTATGGAACATACAAAAAATTGAAAAATTCAAGTTGTGTAGATTTTCACATTTCCTTTATCTCCTTTTTTGGCACTTTGGGCTCCATTGACTTTCATAGTACAGGTGCATCTCAATAAATTAGAATGTCGTGGAAAAGTTCATTTATTTCAGTAATTCAACTCAAATTGTGAAACTTGTGTATTAAATAAATTCAATGTACACAGACTGAAGTAGTTTAAGTCTTTAGTTCTTTTAATTGTGATGATTTTGGCTCACATTTAACATTTTTAGTGAATTGTTGGCCTTATGGAAAGTGTTGATTTACTGTACATGTACTCAATACTTGGTAGGGGCTCCTTTTGCTTTAATTACTGCCTCAATTCGGCGTGGCATGGAGGTGATCAGTTTGTGGCACTGCTGAGGTGGTATGGAAGCCCAGGTTTCTTTGACAGTGGCCTTCAGCTCATCTGCATTTTTTGGTATCTTGTTTCTCATTTTCCTCTTGACAATACCCCATATTCTTAACTAGCTGAAAAAAGCAGGCAGTGCGGGACAGCAGCAGCATTCAAAATAGTGAATTGGTGGGTTTTTGTTAAATGTGAGCCAAAATCATCACAATTAAAAGAACCAAAGACTTAAACTACTTCAATCTGTGTGCACTGAATTTATTTAATACACAAGTTTCACAATTTGAGTTGAATTACTGAAATAAATGAACTTTTCCACGACATTCTAATTTATTGAGATGCACCTGTATAGACAAAACTAGCTGAAACATTCTTCAGAATATTTATTTTTTTTTCCCAGAGAAGAAAGTCATATAGGTTTTTAAATGATATGAAAGTAAGTAAATGATTAATTGGTAAATGATTATTTCATCAGTCTTGATCAAGGGCACAGAAGTGGTGTGCAGCACCTTTTCTAGGGTTTGAACCAACAACCCTTTATTATAAGAAAAATTCACCCATAAATGAAAATTGTAATTTATTTATATATTTGTATTATTTTAATTTTCCCTTAAGCTTTTCCAAACTTGTGACTGACTTTCTTCCATGGAATAAAATTTAAAAAAAAAAAAAATATTATTATTTTTTTTTTTGGGGGGACATTTAAGTACTGAGTAATGTTAATTAACTACATGCTCTTATTATATGGTTAGGATTGGGGTTTGGCTTAGAGTTACTTTTATTTTTTATTATTTTCCCTTAAGCTTTTCCAAACTTGTGACTGACTTTCTTCCATGGAATAAAAAAAAAATTTAAAAAAAATATTATTATTTTTTTTTTTGGGGGGACATTTAAGTACTGAGTAATGTTAATTAACTACATGCTCTTATTATATGGTTAGGATTGGGGTTTGGCTTAGAGTTACTTTCTTGTAATTGTGCATAATTAATTGTTGTTATTACAATAATGAGTACATGTAACATGTGGAACAAGGACACCTTAAAATAAAGTATTACCAAAAATTGTTACTCATCAGATCATATAGATTAATTTCACCTTTCCTTTTTGGTGCTTGAGAGTTTTGGATCCCATTGATTTTCATAAAATGGACAATATGGACTTAACTCTATATTTAGTTATTTTGATCCAGGGCATGATTGTGGATAGTTCATGCATCGCCTTTTCTGAGATTCGAACCCACAACCTTTCTGGTTATCGGAAAAGTTCCCCAAAAATGAAAATTGTCATTTGGAAGTACCGAGTCTGCTCCGCCCGGAGCTGTTTCCGTGTAGGACTGTTGGCGCAAGCTACATTAAAGTGATTATTACGTTTTGAATATGGATATTTTTCTTACAAAACGCATCAATTCACTGCAGGAGGCCTTTGTTCACCCCCCGGAGCCGTGTGAGACACTTTTTATTATGGATGGGCTCATTTTATTGAACTTCTTTTGGACTGATGCATTGAAAAAATCAAAGACAATTTTTAATCTAACTCTGCATGGATTAGTCTGAAAGAAGAAAGTCATATACACCTAGGATGGCTCTGGGGTGAGTAAAACACAGTCTAATTTTCATTTTTGGGTAAACTAACCCTTTAAGTTAGTGCACAATAGTGATCAGCTTGAACCCCACAACCTTGTCGTTTATTTGAAAATTTAACCCAAGAATTGAACTCAAATTTACTCTATATGTAGCACAAAAAAAGATTAAAAGTGCACAATAGTGATCATATGTGTGACTTTCATGTGTAGAACACAAAAGATGTTTTGATGGTGGTGAGAGTACAAGATCAGCCCTGAACCATCAATCTTTTGCTTACCAGCCCTGATCTTTTAAGTTGTACCAGCCTAGTTTCTCATGATGAACAGAACCATTACATGAATAATAGAGACATTCCATAGAGAAAGAGTCTTATATGCTTTCACATGACCTCTTGAGTTTTAGGACAGGTGAGCTGCCCTACAAACTCAAGAGGTGATATTTGAGCTGGTGAAAAACAGTGCTTGAGGCGCTAATACATTCAAAACGGAGCTGTCAAAGCTCTTTGGTCTTTTTACTTATCAGTTATTCACCAGTGTTTTCTGGCTCTTATGAGAGGTGTCTGTCAGCTCTGCAGATGTCTGTCAGGATCAAGGGATCATATTTAGTTTTAAAGGGTTGGAACATATGTCTTGATACCTGAGAACTGTCAGGCCGTGAATGATGCCGAAACGCATTGTGCAGTAGATTGGTATTTTTTAGGCCCATGGCTTTATAGTTGGCGAATCGCCTCACGTGATCTCCGACCTCTGTGTTTGTGTTGCAGATCACCTCTGAGGTCCACCTGTTCAGTCACATTAAGGGAAAGAGGCACCAGCAGGCAGTGCGGGACAGCAGCAGCATTCAAGGGCGGGAGCTGTCCGACGAGGAGGTGGTGAGTCTCCCCCACTAAAAAACACTGAAGAAACAAGGGTCTTCCCCAGAAGTCCATTGTGAAAATGGAGAGAGTTTTGATAGAAATGCAAATTAAATGTATAAATTTGCATGTACTTTTAAATATGAAAGTGACTTAATGTCCTAATGTACTTAATGAAAATACAGATAAGTTCAATATATTTATATATAAAAGGCCAAATTGATTTGGATATTTAATAATTAAAAAAATCAAAACAATTTAAAGTAATATACAAATTATTTGATATTTAATACTTTTTAATATTTAACAACATTTTATATTTTATACATTTTCTATTTATTTATTGCAAATTTTATTTAAAATAATTCCCGTAAAAAATGTATATAAATTAATTTGCCACAGGTAAATCCAATTCTTAATTATTGTCATTGTATACATGTTTGTTTGCTTTTGTATATATTTTATTAACAGTAATTCTGAATTGTATGTGCTTATTTTTTATTTAAGTATTTTTAAAATAAAGAATAATACATTATAAATACATAATTTATAATTTTATATATTTTATAATAATTTATACATTTTATGATAATTGTATAAATACAATTATTATAAAATTGTTTAATTTTATTGTAGATTGTTAATTTTTTAATTATTATAAATGATACATACAAATAAAGCAAAAAATAATGTAACATTTCATACTAATTTTCTATACAAATACGAATTCTTGCATTCATTATATTTATTGAAGGATTAAAACTACTGGAAAAATTGAAGTGCTTTAATGTAAATTGTTTTAGTCTTGCCTATATTTTTCACACACACACACACACACACACACACACACGTTTGTTTGCTTTTATTGCATGTATTTTATTAACTATAAATTATACATAGTTATTATAAAACTGTTTGCTTTTACTGTAGATGAGTTGTTTTTTTCAATGATTATAAATGATACGTACAATTACATACAAAAAAAGCAAACAGAATATAGCATTTCACTGATTTTATATACAAATAGGATTTATTACATTTATTATTCATAATATTTCTTGAACGCTTAAAACATGAATATTTGGTGGTACTTCATGTAAATAATTTCACTCTTGCCATGTTTCTCACACAAACAGTACGCTCACACGCCATTCAAGTTCATTTTTATGGCATACATTTCATTTTATGATTTTGCACATTTTTCATATCCGTAAAGGTTTGAGGGGATCAACACCAACTTTCCCATATTTTCCCCAGTTTGTGAGACCGTAAAAGGCTACAACGAATCAACACTAATAGTGTTTGTGTATGTGGCGTGGGGTGAGATCACCCTGCCTTGTCTCTGGGCTTGACAGAGTGCCTTTCCTTTGAACGCCGCTCGTTAAATGCGGGATCTCTCACCGCAATATGAGATTGGCTTTCACACTGGGCTACTTTGTACGGCTGACAACTGTTGGTGCTATATGTCGCACCTTTGGCCCCTGGACCTCCTTCATTCGAACCTTTTTTCAGCGAGTAATATTTAAACCCCCACTGCTACCGCTAAATCATTAGGCTTGGCTGCGGCCACCTATTTTTCTTCCTGACAGTGTGATAAACACACAGCCAAGCCACCGCGCCACGGCTCGCAACCGCGCGACACACGTCAGGTGCAGCCGACTTAATGAGGCCTGTCTAGATTGTGGAGCTTGATGTATGTAATTGAATTAACTAGTTTTTAAACAACTTTCATTCGGTTTACGTTAAAAAGGAAGCCACCATTTACCTGTGATTTTATACGACGCAATCTATAACAGTCAGCGAAATTAGCTAAATTGGAAACGTGATTTTGTCTGAACTGTAAATTTTTTCATTACCGTGTCCTTGGCTCTTATTGGAAAAGAACATGTTGCTTATATTCCTTCATCTGTAGAAGTTTATAAGTAATATGTGTCTAAATGTGCAATTTTGGTCATTCGTTCCCATTTTAAGGAAACCTGGCCACGGGACTTGTTTGGATAATCTTGCCATGGACGCCCCAGTGCTTCTTATTTATGTCTTTGCTCATTTTGGTGCGCAGTATTTCATTCACGCAACCGCCAACTATTTTCCAGTCGGCACTTCCATAATTCTTGCCGTTATGAAAGATTTTTAATTAAAACTAAGATGGTTGGCTGAACCGTGCAGAGGTCACAACATAGTTTTTCAGCAGAAGCGGGTCCAGAGCCTCCGTCTCTCCTCATATTTAGTCATATTTCGCTATTTAAAAGACTGAGTTAAATTGAAAATACAGCGATTATCAACAGCAATGGATCAGTGCGGCTGCGGGACACTTGGATTGCCTCTTGGACTCTATATTATCCTTTATTGGTTTTCATCTCTTCTGGTTTAATGTGATATATCGTGGCTCTAGGCCCCCTGTGTTTGACATGCAAGAGTTTTATTTATCCTCAACCTTTGACGCCAGTTCAAGAAACACAGCTGTACGGTCAGTTATTCCAGCTAAAATATCACACAGCTTGTTGGAGTCGTGGCCTAATGGTTGGCACACAAGTGCTCATGTGGAACAAGCAGATTTAAGTTCAGACTTGTATTGTGTATCGATACATTAAGTGGCTTAAAGTAATTTAAAGATTATTAAGTAAATATAATGGAATACTATAGTAGTACTTAATATTTATATATATTAAGTATACAATTATATTATTTAATTTTTTATATTTTTTTCTAGAATTCTAGAATATAAAATAAAGTATATACACATATTAAACATAAAATTTATACTTAATATTTGTAAAAAAAAATGTATGCTAATTATTTGGATAACACTTTAGAATAGGGAACAATTCTCACTATTAACTAGTTGCTTATTAGCAAGCCTATTATTAACAAATTGGCTGTTTATTAGTGCTTATAAAACACATATTCTATCCCTGATCTCACTTTACGAACTATTAATATGCAGCAAATTGGGAGTTTAAGGCAAAAGTCATAGTTATTGGTTTGTTAATAGCGAGAACTGAACCTTAAAATAAAGTGTGACTGGTATTGGAATCATATTCTGTTATTAAAATAGAAGGTGTATATGCACACATTAAACATTAAAATAAATATGCATCTCAGTACTTAATATTTATATAACCTATTATGTTCTATCTATTTTACTAGAATATTTTTCAAATAAAAACTATGTACACACATATATTAAACATGCACTTTTTATTATGTTAAATAATGTGTATATACTTTTTATTATAATAATATTCTAGAAAGATAATATAAAAAAATTCTGAAATTGTAATGTAACTTATAACTATAGTAACTATAAATAACTTAAAATAATAACTGTAAATATTATATTTATTAAATATTTCATTTAATGTCATCTTTTTATTATTGTTGTTATATATATTAATATATTTGTATATTAACCAGTTCTTTCCTTTAGTGTTCTGATTAACACAACAAAGTTGTTTTGTCGTTCTCTGAACCTTTTTTATTTTATTTATTTATTTTTTACAACAGACATCATGTCAAATGCAAGGTTGGAATGTAATCCTGCAAGGGATGCACAAGTCAAGTTTTTTTTTGTGGGTTGCTGGTTAGTTACCTTATACCTCCTGTCTTTACATTGTACCTGAATGACAAACAGCTGTCTGTTTCACATTGGGGAAAGCCATCTTTTGCCGGCTCTTTTGTGTCACACAAAAGAGTGGAGGAAGGGGACGTGTATCAGTGTGACAGTGAGAGCTTCATCATGGCCCCTGAGCAACGGCGGAGGTGTGATGTTTTGAGTGCTCTCTCATTACGCCCCACAGAAAGCACTGTGGGTTTTTGGGTGTTCAAGCCCACGGGTTGGTCTCTCTCACTTTTTATATCCCACTCTCACGCCTCCTATTATCACCGTGTGCAAGTGGACACCTGTCCATCACCTGTCCGTCCATGAATTTGATAGGTCGTCATAGGTCACATTGTCCTCTTTCTATAGCATAAATTTATGTAATTCTGACGAAAGCATCACTATTAAATATTGCTTATACTTGGAGTTTGGGTTTTTTCATGTGCTAATGTTCGTCAAAGCAATCCGACTATTTCCATCTGACAAAAAATTCTCACAGACTTGAGTCATTTAGATCATCTAAATATGAAAAATACTTTCTACATTTCATGCATGTATTAAACAGGGTCTTAAAAAGGTCTTAATTTGCCATTCCACATATTAAGGATATAAAAGCTTTTAAATCTCACATAATATAAAGTCTTAAATTCATAGTCATGGCAAAAAAAACTATCTTTCTCTGTATTTTTGTATTTTTTTTATTTTTATAATACAAATATTAAAATATTTTTTAATACTAAACATCCTCAAATCAAGTTGCATTTATTTGAGATGCGAAATGAAGTCTAGTTAAACAAAATTGAGTTTGTTTAAATATCTGTCAGAGGAGTATGAAAATTTGTTTTCCTTTTGAATGAAGTTTATTTGTATTTTTTGTTAGCTTTTGTTTATTTTAAATCAAACTCATTCATTTTGATCAATTCTGCAGGAAACAAAACTTATGACAATTTATTCTCAAGTAAATGTATCTTGATTTAAGAATCTTTGGACATTTGAACTGAAAAACAAGACAAAATATTGAGGAGGAAAATTATTGTTTTCGAGTGCAACCAGAAGATACAGTAAGTATTAAGTTATTTCCATGTTTTAGTGTTTGTGAGCAGAGCTGTTCAAGCCTTAAAGGGGTCATATGATGCGATTTCATTTTTTCCTTTCTCTTTGGAGTGTTACAAGCTCTTGGTGCATAAAGAAGATCTGTAAAGTTGCAAAGACTAAAGTCTCAAATCCAAAGAGATATTCTTTATAAACGTTAAGAGTCAGCCACACCTACCTAAAACGCCTCGTTCGAATACGCTCCCACATATCTACGTCACGATGTGGGAAGATTTGCATAACGCCGCCCAAATGTTCACGCAAAGAAAGAAGGCGTAACTTTTATTCTCGCTGTAGTATTGTTGCCGCTGCCGCCATGTCCTGAAGA